AGGATCCAAGAGGGGTGGGAGAGGTTGGAAGCAGAGGCATGTGCAGGGGGAGGGGGCATAAATCATGGGGTTGTACAACTTGATGGTTGGAGATTGAGGAAAATTGAAGGAATCTGTTCTTGCAAACAGTGTATTCAAATTTTGTAAATAAACTGGTATAAAATTTAAAAATCCCTAAAATGTTTTTGATATTAAAAAAAAAAACCAAACGACTTGTTAATGACCATTGCAAAAATCATCTTTCACTGAAGTATATTTCCCTCTTTCCATAGTACTCCTAACTATTGTTCATAATCTTTCATTGAAAAATATGCTCCCCTTTCCATAGTATTACTAACTATTGGGTGTTTTTCCCCACACGAATTTTATGCTTAGTGACAAGGAGGATGACGTTTTGTCTTATTGGATTTGGGTATATTGTCAGGAGGTGTCAGTGCCTGGAAGAGGACATCGTGCTGGGGAAAACTGAGGATCAGTGAAGGAGGGGAAGGCCTTCAACTAGGTGGATTGACACAGTGACTGCAGCCGTGGCCTTGAGCACATGATGAACTTGACCTCATCTAACAATTCTTCTCTTAAAGAGTTCCCAATTTCTTTGTCTTTCATTATTATGTTTTATAAAATATAAAATAGGGCTCAACAGAGCTGCTGCTTCATATTGTTATGAGAACTTGGTTAATGCATGTAAAGCTTCAACAATGCCTTACTCATAGCATGCATTCAATAAAGTTCTCAAGAAAAATTTAGCAAGGTTAGAGTCTTCCCTCATCTTTTTGCCATCCCGACATGATTTTAAAATTCCTCCTCGGTGCTTTGCTAGTGCTCTCTTGCCCCAGACTCACCATTAGCAACTTTCTCTGGGATATAAGTTGTCTGTTTCTCTCTCTCTTTTTCTCTCCCCCTCCCCTTCCCCTCTTCTCTCTCTTTCTCTCCTTTTCCCTGTCTCCCTGTCTCCACTAAACTCTAGGTGCCTTGAGGCCACAGACTAAATTATGTCTTTATGCTTTCCCCAGTGATTCAAACAGTATCTGGCACTTTATAGGAACTCAGCAAATATTTGCTACATTAAAATAGATGAATATTCTTATTTCCCAGAAGAGCATTTGAAACAGAGAAGTTGCTTTATAAATCGTTTTTTGAATGAATGGATAAATCACTGAATCACAACTCAGTACAGTAGGAATGTTCTTCAAGGTCATTTAGAAAGCAAGACTATTCATTCAGATTGTATCCTTTTATGTTAGAGTTTGGATACTATTTTCTTTCTGCTTCATTTGGTTAGCTTGTTTTAATTCTTTCTTTTCCTCTATATTTTATATACTGCTCCATCTGTTAAATAACTTCTTTGTCACATGATAAGTCTACAACATATATTACAATGATTCAACCAATTCTGAATATAAATACAGGTGAATATTTGACAGTCATAGCATCTGCAACATCGTTTTCTTCTCCGAAAGAAATCCAAAGCTCATCAGTATCAATGTCCACTTCTTATTTCTAGTTGTAAGTGTGAATTATAAATAAAAATTGAAAGCATTAGCTCAGCTTTGATGCAGTGATAACACTGAGGGCAGTATTTCTTTGTGGGTAATGTTCCAGAGAATAAAGTTGACCCAACATTTCCAGACAAAAGTTAAACAAAAATAGATGTGCTACTAAAAGTCTTTCAACATTAAGGTAGTTAAGTTTGAAATAAATGTTTGTCTAAGACAACACTATTGCTTACTTAGAATAAGAATAGAAATGTTTAGTAAATTATTTCAGAAAAAGGTTTATTAATTTTACTTATCTTAAATGTGTCTCATGGCATTGGATAATTTAAGAGGAAAAATCCTGAGAAATGAAACAAACAAACAAAAATGCTCTTAATAAACTAAGATGAATTTAAGGTTCCTGAGTCAAATGTTCGGAGAAGAGATAATTGTCTAATCAGTATTTCCCAAGAATATTTTTGTCATTCCCCCTTAACGTGCTAATTCACTGTCATTGAGTGGAATCAGAATCAAAGGGATAAATACTTTGGAACATGCAAATATATTAGCACCTACAATTTATTGTAATACTGCAATTTCAGTATTATGAGTAGATAGAGCTATATTTTATAAAAATATATTTTTATTTTTGCTACAAATGGACGATACCACCAGAGTTTCATGATTACATAAAGTCCAGTTAGGTAGTTGACTTCCAGTGTAACTGTCTCATAGTTGACTCCCCAAGTAAGATTTTGAAGCTATAAATTACTTGGAAGTAGATTGCCTATTTTTCTCTTCAGAAGTGATTGGTGGATTAAAATCTCTAGAGACATGTCATCTTTGTATTAGTAGAGCAATTCCTTACAGACTAGACTGCTAAGGTTTATGCTATTTAAAGAGAACCTAAATAAATATGCGGTCAATTGCATTGCGTTTCATAGAGGAGAAAAAAAGGAAATAAAATATATCTACTATGTCTTCAGTATTATATTCCTTACTTTTATATTCAATACCTAATTTAATCTTTTCTTTATCACTGTGAAGTAGATACAACTATCCCAACTTTATATATTATGAAACAGCTTAACAGTTAAATGAAATACCAAATACAATGTAAATACATTTAAAAATGGCTTCTCTTGTGCTGTACTGATTTCTCCAGACATTTTCCTCAAATGACTGGGACAAGTTGAAATGAGGTAATTCTTGGAATCAATGGAAATTTTTGGCATTTTGCCTGATGATACAATTCAAATGGTTCTGAAAAATCTTGCAGAAATCCACTTCTTACGTTCTCAAAACATAAATTTTACAATATTTGATGCATTTATTGTGGTGTTTTGATTTTGAAATACCTCTATGGGAATCTAGATGTAAAATATTCACATATTATTTGGTAGGTTATGAATAGCTGTGAGAAATGAAGCTTCGATCAGAGATGTAGATACAGGGTTTTGAGTACTGTTAGAAGTAAATAGAAAGGATTATTTAGCAACTTCATACTATTTTTCTTTTTCAACATAAAGAAAAGTCCTTTGAATAGAATCTCAGTTGCCTGATATTGCATCCACATGTCTAACCTAGGCAAATATCTCTATTTCAGAGTCACGTTCCCTTCCATTAAAGCTTAAGGACATATTTATTAGGCAAATACTCAGGCAGAAAAGTTAGAAGTGATAAGTAGGAGGACACATGAGCTCTGTGAGAATCACCAACTCTTGATAATCCCTCAAACCAAGGAAACAAAGCGTTTCCACTCCATGTACTGAGCAGGCTCAGGATGATAAGAAAAATGTGTTTTCAATCTTCCCCTGAATTTATTCAGCTCAATTTGAGAATAGATATGTCTCATATTAATACTTAATTTCTAAATACTCATGAGCTCTATTAAAATTTTCTGGCAGAATCCTCCTCTGCTCTCCGTCCAGTGGACTCTAATTCCAGGTTTTGGCAGGCTCTGACTGATTAGCAGGTTTTTTCCTTCTCAATCACATTATTGAGCACACCCAAATGGAGCTCTGGGAACTGTTTAAAAAAATATTACTTTGAAAAGTATATTAAGGACTTGTTTAGACTATGTAAAGGAGATATAACTCAAGGAAATGGAGTGTAATAGAAAAATGTGAAATGTCTCTAGAAGAAGATCGCTTAATGTGGAATTATCATCTTTATTCCTATCTACACATGAAAGCATGGAATGGAGCTCATTTTTCATATAACTCAAGTCCCTGGTTAAAATGTACATATTTGCAATGCTGAAGCACAATTCCAAGAGTCGTGACATCAACCACGACTTAATGAGAACCATTACTTTAAAATCTAAGGGAGGTGTGCTTATCACTGTTAAAATTCCATTTTCACTTAATTAAAGTTTAATTACAGAGTGGAACTACGGAAGATGGCATCAAGCTTTACACTTTTAAGGGTTAGTTATTGAATGAGAGCTCTGTTGGCCCAGTGGCAAGAAGCTGCACTGCAATCCAGAAGGCATGTGGTTTAAGGCCACCAGTAGCTCAGTGGAGAAGGATGGGCACTCTCCTCCCATGTCACTAATTGCCTCTGGAAACCTGCAGGAGGGTCAGGTATGGGTCAGTTCAGACTTTATGGTACACAACAACAACATAGTTACTGGAACTCTGAGATAATCCCCTCTGAAGTGCACATGTGCACAGAGAGGCACTTGGTGGGCAATTATTGGATGCATTGATGAATAGATGAATGACAGATTTTCACATATTCCCAGAGGTCAGATGGTTAAAAACTTAATAGTATTAACATTTTCTATTTTGTCCACTATTTTAAAGGCACCAAAGTTTAAAGGCTTAACTGTCTATGTAAAGTCTTCTGTACATATGACTAAGTAGAAACTAAAATAATTTAATTCAAATTGCTTTGGAGTCAGTTCTGAGGCCCTCTACTGCTTTCAGAGGCTATTAATCAAAAGCAATGTCAAGCAATATGTGTAGATAACAATGACTATCTCATTTACAATAGCTTATCGGAACTGCATGTCTTTTAGTTGCAAACAACTCTCCTTTTATAACCGTATCCCAAAAGTAAAACAAAATTAAGTCTTAATAGTTTTACAATTAAAAACCTCTTGTATATTTCACTGGAACTATTAAATCTTTAATATTAGCTAATTGTTGTATACTGTCAGATTTCTAACATCAGATATTGGTTTATAACAGTATAATCTGTTTCATATGATTAGAGAATCAAGAAAGTGAGATAAAAAGTACATTTAGAATAGTATTTTGGAGTTTATCAATGAAGATGTAAAAATACACTCTCTGAAATAAATATATAACATGATTGTTAATAAAAATCTAATAAAATTTCAGGAAATTGCAAATTGTCCATGGAAATATCTAAGTTAAAAGCTCTTGTTACTGTTTTTACACAGACCAATATACAATATAGAGTTGAACTTAAGCTTTAATAGATAAAAAATACATATTAAATATTTATATGAAAGTATAGTAAATATTTGCAGTATCAAAGAGAGGAAGGAATTCTTACCACCTTCTTTTGTGCAAAGGTTGACCAGACTATGCACTGTGTCCATCAACTCCAGCTGCTGCTTCTGAAGGACACTGTTGTTGTTGGTGGCTCTGTTTAACTGTTTCTCCAGCTCTTGAATTATGTAGGTTTGACGAGTAACCAAGCCCTGAAGGTTATCTTTCTCTTCTTTTAAGGCATCCAACTCTTCCTTGTGTTTTCCTTCCATTTCAATGATTTTATGTTCTAATAAACTACAAAAAATGAAAATAAGATTTTGTTCTGAACTTGCTTTACAAAAATTGTGATTCAACTACTTCCTGTGATTACTTAAGAGTAGAAATATTCATTAGTAATTATTGTTCATTATTTCATGATAGAAATATTTTTAAAATACTCAACAATACAATTAAAATAGGAGTACGGCCTGGTGGCAAGAAGTTGCACTGCAATCCCAGAGGCACGCAGTTTGAGGCCACCAGCTGCCCCGTGGGAGAAGGATGGGCAATCTCTTCCCATACTATTATTAACCACCTCTGAAAACCTGCCAGAGGGTAGCTATAGGTCGGTTCTGACTCCACAGTACACCACCACCACCACAACAACAACAACGTATATATCTAACACATTACATAAAAGTTATTAGAATAGATGTTGTTGATCTGATCTGGACTAAAACATTTAACAGTCTAGAGAAGTTAAAGTAATTTTATTAACCAAATTTGTCCAATAAGATAGAGAATACAAAAGTTCAGAGAAAATTTTTAAAAATAAAGAACATATTTTTTGTTTTACTTCCCTTCTGTAAAAAGTTAGAGAGACTTAATTAATTTTCACAATAATAATATGTGTTTAGATAATGTTCTTTATACAAATACTTTAGGATTGGGAAGTAACCTATCCAAGGTCATAATACATTAGAATTATCTGGATGTTTGACCTCTACTTCTAAATCATAATCATAAGTCTACTTAAATTTCACAAACTGAAATTAAAGAAGAAGCCTTAAAAAAAATTGCTGAAACTCATTGTCTTTGACTGGAATTGACACACAGTTGACCCTTCAGTAGATTTTCATAGACTGTAAAGCATATGAGAGGAGATTACTCACCATCTTCTAGGAACTGCTGGTTTTGAACCATGTATGTTTGGGTTAGCAGTGCAACTCCCTAGCTAATAAATCACCATTGCTCCCTAAAGGCAACATACATAACTGGAAATGGTTGATAAAATGAACACTTCATTAGACAGGTGATGCAGTTTTACCTAATGATTTACAACGCTCTGCTTGAGCTGATGCAAACTTTAATAAAGGAAACTTCTTCTCTAAAAATTTACCAAAAGAAAGACTGCATATTTCACACTACCAATGATAGAAAATGCAGAAGCACTCTTGGATCCTAGCAAGTGACTAGGAATAAAAAGTATTTGCATTTTATAGCGTGCCTAATACGCTAGTATTCCTCAGGGTTAAACCTTACTCAGTTGTCTCAGTTCCATTTTCAGAACATTCAACTGGTCCTTAGTTTACAAGGTGTTATTCCAGTGTAACATATGAGGAGCTTAATTTACCTTGGAGAAATATAGCACTGAATCATTCCTATAAATATCAAAAGGGGGACACTAGGGTATATTTTAAGTTCAATTCTTAAATTATAAAACAGAACATGTTTGAAGAGTCAAATTTTCCAATTTCATGAATTGCAGAACAAGTTGGAATAGCTGGTTATCCTTTACAGAGATTAAAAGGCATTTAGGGCATTTCTATGGCCATTCCAAATTCTTTCAGCAAATCTGTCCTCGTAGAATGCATAGTCCAGAATGAGGCGGGACATGCACCTGCTGAGCCAAAGCTGAGAAGGGCCTCACGATACCTTAATATACAACATTTCTATGTGTAAGATCCTATTTGGAGGTTCCCGGATTATGTGCCAGAATGCTAACCAGAAGGCAGACAGCTTCAATCTACCAGCTACTGTAAGGGAGAAAGATGGGTAATCATCTCTGATGATGATAGCTTCAGAAATCCAGTGGAGGATGGCTATGTGTCAGAATTGACTTGATAACAGTACATCTGCTTTAATTTTAAAATACCTACTAATCCTGTCTCCATACCTTTTCAACATGTATGCAGAGCAGATTATCTGAGAGGCTGGGCTCTATGAGGAGAATTGTGGCATCAGGATTGGGGGGAAGATCTATTAACAATCTGTGTTATGCAGATGACACAACCCTGCTTGCTGAAACTGAGGAGGACCTCATGCACTTGCTGCGAAGGGTCAAGGA